GAAGTGATAAAATAGTTGGTCATCAAATCTTATTTTGATATTTTAGTTATGTTTTGGTAGGGCTGTATGTGTGGCCAAGGATATGTATATAATTATATGTAATTACCTAAAGTACTTATAGGTTTGTGTATGTATACCTCTGTGAAGAGGGAAGTCATAGTTTTTGTAGCTAGCAAGTGCCATAAGCTCAGATGGCTATAAAACGATAAATGGATGTTCGGTTATTATTGTGACTTCAATATTAACTATTAGCTATCGAAGTAGCTCATTGATATTTGAGTCAGGGAATTAATTAGATGCTTGTATAACTGAACATGTTGTTTTGCAAATTGTTTCGAAAGTTTAAAATTTTTCAAAAAATTTCATCCCTCGCACAGAATCAAAACCCTATGTGGAAAGAAGCTTTAAATAAGAATTTGATGAAAGTATTCTTCTTTCTTAACTAGGATTAAATCTAGCTTAGCGGTTTGACAACTAATTAATTAACCCTGTTGGTATAGTTATAGTAGGTGTTACAGTACTCTCTTGTGATCTTAGTGTGCAATCTTGTGCCAAGAAAACACAGATTATTGTATTCTATGTATGAAACGAACGATTAACAAAGAAATTTTCAAGGTACTTTCACTTTTCTTTTTTCAATTTACGTTATATATAGATGTGACTTTTAGATTAATTACTTGCTCCATTCCTTTATACAAAGCTTCAAATAATTAAATTACACAAATTGAAAATTAGTTAAAGATAATAAATATATGAAAAGAATGCAACTTATTTTCTCAAAATGACCTTACTTTGGGAGCTTGAGTAGGAGAGAGAAAGTGAGTAGAGAAAAAATGTTTGTATTGATTTGGTCTTAATAATAATAATTTCAACTTTTAAGGGATTTTAAGCTAAAATGTTCTTATATCTTGGTTTTTCAATATTATTCTCCCTTTAGTCAAGTTTATCTGCACATCATATATTTAATTAGTGTTTTATTTATATAATAGTCAACTTGAGAGTTTATGGCATATATAAGTTCAACTGCCATCTAACACTATTTGGCCGCCCCATTTCACATTTTGGGAACGGCGAGGTAAGAGAAAAATATAGAAAAATTCAATTAAAAAACAGCTGCCATCTCGTCACATTTTCTTCAATGATTTTCTTGAAATAATTTGCTCTTAAGTATTATTGTTGAACGAATCATTAGATGATGAGCGCCCAAAAACATACTCTGAATATATGATAAATTAATTGTTACAGTATTAAATTTTTTTTTCCCCCAAAACATTTGCCTGAAAAGTCATAAGAAGTTTTTAAGAGGTTAATTCAATATTATTTATATAATTAATAAGTACATTTATTTAGGTAATAGAAAATTGAACACGACTTTATAGTTCTATTTATTCAAAGCATCATATATGTTGTGAGTTGGACAAACATAATGGAGTCCAATCAAGCATATGAACAATTAAGCTAATGTTTGTAACCGGTCATTGCTGTTGGTTTTAATAGATACGGTTTTCTCCCTTTATTCTTATTATCAATCCTGGAAACGACTAAAATCACAAATTAGTAGAAAGCATCTGATGCTTTTCCTTTAAAAAGAAAGCATTAAGTTAGAATCAGATCTAAACCCTTTCTTATTTTTTTTAATAAGTAAAAAACTATATTTTAATTTCACCTGAAAATAAAAGCCAAATTAAATAACTACATTTTTTCTTTTAGTTTTTCTTTTACCAGAGAATTTCTTACAGGGCTTTCAAGTAAAAAAGTCAAAAGCATTTTATTTCTTACAAAATAATCTCTCTCTCTCTCTCTAAAATCTAAGCACACTTCTCCCGAATATGAAAACGTTTGTAATTCTAACAATCAAGTGCATGTATTTTTTAATTGTATTTAATAATTTAATTTAAAATTAATTAAATAAATAACACTGATATATGAAAGATTAATAATAAATTTAAATTTATAATTATATAATTAAAAAATAACTAATATAATTAATTAATTATTATTTATTTGAAATAATTAGTTATAATTATAAAATAAATTACACAAATATATGTTTAATTAAAATTTTAAATAAATATTTAAATAAAATTATTATAACTTATTATTCATAGAATATTATTGTTTATAGAATAACATTAAATAATATTGTACATGTGAAGCTATATGGATGTGATAAGAAAGGAAAAAATATACGGACCTCATAAAAATAGGTGAAACTATAAGAACTTATTAAAAAAAAAAAACTATAAGGACATGATTCAAAATAGGTTAAAATTGTAAGGACTTGCAGATAAATTAGCCTTAATATTTAAGGTTATGGGTACTCTCATTTTAATATATATCTATTATTAAACCCAGTTTTATCTAATGTGGGACTTCTCTTAATGTCAACTCAAGTTGATTCACACTTGAATATCCTAACACGCTTCAATAGTATCATACCTAATTTGTGAAAGAGAACATGCAATGCTTTTTGTTTTGTTTTGTTTTCTTTTTGTTTTGAGGCATTGATGTCTACTCAAACATCCTAACATGTTTCTGGAGCAATGAGCTCAATTTGTGAAAGAGAGTATCCGATGCTTTTCTTCGAAACGCGCTGAATTGGAATTGGATCCCAATTTAGGATTCCTTTAATTTGTAAGGAAAAAGCTGAAATGAATGCCTATTATAAAGTTGCTCTTGTCAGACTTAATTAAAGTGTTTTTTTTTTCACCTAAATAAAAAGACCGGATTAAAGTGTTAGGATCTTCTTTAACGAAGTAATATTTTCATATCTGACTAGAAGTATGACATATTTGAGAAACGTCAGCTGTTTTATTCAGCCGAACCGTATTTGTGTCTGTATATAATAAACGAATTTGCACCAAGCTGCATATGTTTGTTATTCATATACTGTTTGACTCACTTTAAGCTCAATGTAGATCACGTCTACTATCTAGTTTAATACTCCTAAACGAATTTGTACCAAGCTGCATATGTTTGTTATTCATATACTGTTTGACTCTCTTTAAGCTCAATGTAGATCACGTCTACTATGTAGTTTAATACTCCTCCGACACTAAATATAAAAGTAAGTTGAAGATCCAATTTAGTTCTAAATATAAAACTCAGTTCATTTTGTCTTTCATGTTTATTCATTTTTTTTCCCAAAGTACTACCTATGATGATTGCACATACTAAAGGATTTATATTCTAATGCATATTATTAACAGGGTTATTTAGAAAAAACAACACTCATTTATTAGAAATAACTAACTTAACTAATTTTCTTAATATTCACAAATTAGTTATTTAACTCTTATTAGAAGACCAGATCGAGATAGTGTAAAATTATAATAAATTATATGATCCATAAATCATGAATGATACTGGTCAAAAGTGAAAGAACGGAAACATTTGTCATTATAGGACAAGCCATACGTGACAGTGTGCTTTTTACAGTCCATGGTAGCTTGTTGATCTTACAAAGGACTTTTTGCGTTTGGAAATATATGGCGAATTAAAGTTTAATGAATGTAGCGGAAATTTCATAGCGCGCAGAGAAGGACCTGCACTGTTCTCTTTCACGTATCAATACGAACTGCGACGTATAGAAGGTAAGTTAGAGTTACATATAGATTTAACATTCACATATTATATATATGTGAATGTTTCTAGCCCACATTTTACAAAGAGAAAGCTGTCTCACCCTTTTTCACTGAATGCTCAATTAATTTTTATTTTGTGCGACTGACCGAAGCGGTTCAAGGATTTGACTCACTCACCTATATTTCCAAGGATTTGATGTTCATCATTCAGAATTTACGACTAACTAGCATGATTTGCGCCAAATCTTTCGACTTTTCACATAGATCATAAAAGAGGGGGGGGAAACTATTTTGGAAGTTCATATACTTTCTCTAAATTTTTAGTTTGTTGGTACCCATTGTTTTTCTCTCTTAATTTATTCTTTAACTTTGCTTTATTAGTGGTGCTAATAGCAGAGCAAATTTAAAGATTTAATTAAAAGAGAAAACACATAGATACCAAATTAAAAATTGAGAAAAAGTATAGGTGAGTTTAAAATGGTTTTTCAAAAAAAAAAAAAAAGTTTAGCTAGCTATTTCATCTTGTTGGGGGATTTGATCGTCCAAAATTTTTAACTTAATTATAGAATGATTTAAAGCTGGTTTTCCAGCTTTGAACATTGAACAATGAAAAAACTTGTTTAATTTCTTTTTTAAAGAAGTTCGGGGAAGGGGGTAAATATTAAAAAGTAACAGGTTAATAATTCTGTAAAACTAAAAGCTTTTGAATAAATTTCCTTTGGACTGAGCAAACATTTGTTAGGGTGGTCATCGGACCATTTATTTATTTATTTTTGGTGAATAGTCATTGGACAATTTATCTACTTGTAAGAATTTGATACTCTTCTTATAAAATTTAGAACTACTTACCTGATATGTTTGTAACTGATCTTTCGACTTTTAACATTTTTTTTAACCTGTTTTGGTTTTTAACATGAAACATTGAAAAAAAAAATACTGTAGGACCTGGTTGAGGAGTTAATGTTGATCCTATATGTAAGATCTATTTCAAATATTTTTCAACTTTTTCGTAAATTAATCTTATTGATATTTCTCCAACAACAATTAAGTGAGAGGGGGGAGGGAATTAAAGAAGATGCTTAGAGTATTTTAGAAAAAATATATCATATTAACTAATTTAACTAACATTGTCACGACTATCCTTTATACACCAATAGAATTGTTCTATTTAACCTCGAATCATTAAAAGCCAGGTTTCAATCCTGGGAAAATCAATTTTTTTTTTTTTTTTACAATTCCCAAGCACAAAATCTGATCCTGTTCAAGGAATAGGATTTTTTGAAAAGTTTAAAACTTTTCAGAAACTCACTTTTAAAGTAACCGGTCTAGTGGTTCGAGTACCCAATTTAACCCTTTTACAAAAACGGTAAAAACCGTCTAAGACTCATGGTTCATATTCAACCATCGAACCCATTCTTTTTCCATCCAACCTTTTGGATCCCATATCAAATCAATTATAGCCAGTAGGATCTAACATTCAATATTCTGGCCATTGGCTCGTACAACGAGTTACATATACAGATACACGTAATTTTAGACAAAATAATAGCTATATATCAAAATATTGATCATTTCTTTCAATAGCAGTTACCATGGTTTATCAGCCCTTAGCCACCTCCTTATGGAGAAATATTTACAAACCAAAATAGATATACAATATATCTTCACTTCAAAATAAGATGCATTTTAGCAAAATATATATACACAAAAGATCGCCAGCTTCCTGCGCCTTTAAACTCCACCGATCACTACTCCCTTGCCCTTAGGAGTACCTGCTCTTGCTGTATTACATGGAAGAAGGGGTGAGATTCTAAAGAATCTCAGTAGTAACAAATTTCCCTCACGTAATCATACAAGATCACAAACACATGCTACACAGGCCAAAGAGAACAACACCTTGCATCCAAATATAATCAATGATGCATATACACCATACACCCATATAGCTAATCGCTATCTATCGCGCCCACATTCCAAAATAAATGGAAACCAGCGCATATTGTCATGACAAATATTATTATGCAAAGGCAACTTACATGTTCTCATGCATAATCAGCATAAAGGCACATCCAAGCATGTGGCAATCCATATACAATCACATTAAAGGAAAAGAGTTACTACCTTTTGCTTTTTCTTCCGTACTAACTTCCCCTTGCTTCTTCCTTGACTCCTTTCTTAATGGACTTGAACAAATATCAAATCCTATAAATTATATAGGCAAGGATAGATTAATATATATGTATATAGGTATAAGTATTTAAGTACTCTCCCATTTCCCTCATGCTTCCCACGGTCATACTTCCAAAAGTCACACACACGCATATATATATATAACAATTATACTCCACAAACTTATAAACAATTAGCATACATTAATCTTTTCGGATATTTCTCCCACAATTCCAGCTTCATATGCGTCATTCTATTTCCCATTTTAAGGTCCAAAAATCTTGATTCAGTCCTCTCAAATCAGTATTCAAATTCTACATTAATCTCAACAACCTTGCTAAGCTGTAAACTTTTTCAGATTTTAATATCTATCTTCACACTTTAATCAATTTCGGACAGCACCCCATGCTTCCAAAAATATTTTAATATGTCTACACTGAGGTTTAATCATCTCTCTTCCCTTCCTATTTTTCACGCCACAGTCATAAGCAATTCTGGAAAAATTTTCCAGATTCTAAACATACTCCCAATTTGGAACAGCACTCTTTACTTTAGTTCTAAAAATTCTCCAGCTTTAAAACTATTTTCTTACTATCACAATAGAGCTTTTAAACCTGATCCAATAACTCAATATGCCAATAATAGCTGCAGAGCATCAACCCGTGATGATCCTTCAATTTTCCAGCTTGAGATATTGCCACTAAAATTCCAGATTTGACACGGACAACACCTACACACATACGTGTGTGTGTGTGTGTGTGTGTATTACATCTACACCTCCAAGGTTCTCAAACTACCACCGAACAAACTGAACGTCCCTGTTTCGGTAACTAAAACCAGAGTAATCAACTATACAAGCAAGTGCAAAAATTCCAACCACAAACTCTATCCTCACCATTAAGCACGATTTTTATAGCTTAGCTCTCATGCTCTTCACTTTCTCTCTCAAAAACCAGATTTCATTTCATCATCGTCCTGCAACACATGACCAAATAACAGAAAACAAAGATGGAAGAAGATTCAGGAGACTCACCTGGTTTGATTTCCACTTTTAGATGAATCGATAGTCTCCTTCAATCACCTCCTCTTCTTCCTCGTTCTTCCCCTAGTCCACCGTCTCTCTCTTTCTCTGTTTCAGTCGTGCAGCAGGGGAAAATAAGAAGGGAGAAGATGTTAGGTCGGTGAGGGCTGTAGAATGACCATATACCCTTTGGTCTTTATTTTCCCTTCAATTTGATCCTTCTCTATTTTTCCAGGATAATCAGATAATTCCAGAAATCAAACCTGGATATTTTATATGAATTTTCTTCTTCCATTAGCTTCTTTAGTCCATAAAATAATTTTCCTAAAAATCTCAGCTCAAAAATTAGCCTCTAACTATTTTTCTTGAATATTCCAAGAAAATAGGTCCTAAATTCTTGAAATTAACTTTATAATTATTCAGACCATATTTTAAGGGTCTTAATCTCAACAATTTCTCTAAAAATTTCTCCTTCATCATGCTTTACTCAAATCCATAAAATTTGGGATATTACAAACATAATTAATCTATTCAAATTAGTTAATTAAGTTTTGTATTAAGGACCCGAAAAGTATATATGCAATGCTCATTCGTCTAGTTATAGGGTTTGACACCGTCCAAAATTTACAACTAAATATAAAATAATTTATAACTGGTCTTTTCTCTAAGAGTATATATGCTAGCAACTGATGAAGAGTTTTAAGTTTTGGTGCCCTTTTTTGACTAATTATTGACGATGGATTATTGGCTTACGTTAAAGTACAGAATCGATCTTTTAATGGTGTTGCATTATTGAACATTGTCTTTCTTTTGTTAATTTGATCCGACAACACACTGTGAACCATCAATTGAGAGAATCGCATCTCACACATCATGAAAAACGTTGTGGTGCTTTTTCTTAAAGAAAGCACTGGGATGGGATCCAAAACTATGACAAGTTATAGCAAGCTTTTCATTTTGGATCGAGTTAGGTTATGGGATTTATGACAATAAAACAGAATTCCAAAAGATGATCATTTTTGGGTGGTGGCCAGGTGGGTGATTATGAACATCCGCACACTCTTATTGTAATAATTTTAGAGCAAGCTTTTTTTCTTTTTAATTGAGCAAGCTGAGTTACTAAATGACAAAAGTTGAAAGCATCTCGGGACAAGACCATATTTTTATATCTGATTAGGTTGCTGACGTATATTTGTGAAACGTCAACTGAATTCGTAAGCAGAATTGTAGAAAAAAGTTTGTAAATTATACTTGACGTTCAGTTGATAATATTAATTTTTATTTTTCCGGAACAATATATACATAAATGAAATGTTACATTATTTAGGCTTTTTTAAAAAAAAAATAAAGTTGGTTTACCGATAGATATTCATTTTTATATATCATATGCCACGTTTATTGATGATTTTGAGCTTAAATCAATTGGATATTATTTGATTTTGGAAAAAATATAAATAATGAAAATCTTTGGGATCAAATTGCAGAAATTCTGTATTTTCTAATTTTCATTAGATTTAATATTTTTAATTATGTTTTGTGTAAGATTAAATGACACCCATTGATTTCATATTCGATTAAATTAGGAGATGTCAATTATCTATTGTAGAGAAAATTCCGAATTATTTTACCCTGTAATATTTCTTCACTTACACTCCCTCCCTCTTTCACCTCGTTCTATTTTATTTTTGAACTTTACCTTTCTTCTCTTCTCTCCTCTCCTCTTGATCATGATAACATATGAGAATTGTTTACACATCGTGGTTTTTAATATTTGGGCCAAATATTATGTCACAACATACTTTATTGGATCCATATTTGATTATTTTAGGTCATATAAGTGTTTAACTCAATGGTTATGACTTGGATTCTGCACTCCAATAGAGAGCCAAAAGTGAAGATTACAAAAAACAAGGGAAGAAACCGAATGGGAAAATTCAAGAAAAGAAATCATTCTTTTTACATTTTTCTCTGTTTTTTTTTTACTATTCTCTTATTGGATCATTTTAATTTCTCACAATCACATTGGTCCCAAATTTCCCACCCTCCTCCCCCCCCCCCCTCAAAAAACTCTAACCCTATACGTCTCTTTCGTCTCCCTTGGACAAGAGGGGACGCTTCTGAGCTTGGTGGGCGCCATGGAAGAAGCTTGGGTCAGAGAATTGGAGCTTAAGCCGTCACTGGGGAACTAGGTAGGGACTTTTTTGTGCATTGCTCTTCATAATTCCTCATGGATGTTATTATAAAGTAAGCATTCAAACAGTATAATAACAATGATAATAAAAACTACTTTTATTAAAAGAACACAATATATAGGCACCTGATATTGACTCATCTGGCGCAATTAACTAAGGGCTCGAACCCTTCTAATAAATCTATAAAACCAGAAGAAAAAAGATAAAGAAAAAAAAAACACAATATCGATGCCCAGACCGTTGTCCGAAGGCACAATCACTATCATTTTGACAGGTTCTTATGCAAGGGTCACAATGGAATCTTCAATAGAGGAAACAACCAAAATCACGAAATAAAAAAAAAGCATGTGATTCTCTTCCACCACTGAAATGAAATTACTATATTTGAATCAGATCCCAAAAGGCAAAAGCTTTCTTCTTAAGGAAAAAGAAGAATTAAATGGCCACTAGAATGCTGACATTCATCGTCCCGGAACTGCTCTTTCAACTCTTAACATAGAATATTGGAAAAAATCAGGGACTTGACAATCATCTTTTAAAATTTAAAATTAACTGTGACCTCCTGTTCTTAATATAAGAACTAAATAACTAACTTGAAAATATTAAAAAAATTAATTAAGTTAGTTATTTATAATAAATAGATATTTTTTCTAAATTGTTTCTATTAATCATTTGCATTGAAACTGCTTCTAGATTTTGGTAAAAAAAAAACAAAGAAAGAAAGAAACTACTTCTGGATGGAGACTTCTTAATAGTTTAATATATGGGAGACAAAGTGAATTAATGTCTTATATTATTTAAAATAAAATTGAATCTCTAACTAACTCTTATATTTAGGACAGAGGTAATATGATAATTTTCTACTAAACTTCCGAATTTTAAATGAGAATGTTGAAAGAAAAAATTGTTTAATTAATTAATTAGTTTAGTTACAAATTAAAGATTCGACAATGATTTTCGGAAAGTTAAAACTGACTATAGCATGCTTTTACCTTTTGATTTTTAACAACCGTAAGATGAAAATTGGAAAGATAATAAAGGAGAAAAAAGAAATGCTTCCAGCAGATCCCATGTGGTCTCAACTATCTACGGGTATCTTTTAATATAGACATTCAAGTTTCGACACATGATAAAAGAAATCGTTAATCAATGAAGATTAGTAAACCTTGAAGTGCAACTGTGTGGAACTTGATGATAGCTTCAATTGTACGCGGTTTAATAATTTATTCTGTTATCCTTTATGTCATTAAATGAGGAGGAGTTAAGTTCTATTGTCCTTTTTTGACTAAATGGATTACTAGTTTAAAGTACAGAATCGATCTTTTGGCATGGTTGCATTATTTAAAATTTTATGTTTTTTTTAAGGGAATTGATCCATTTTGTGGAAGTGATTACTTGCGTTTTGGAGATCCTCTGACCTGATATCTGGAGAATGTTGGATTTCAATTAGGCTTTCCCTACTCTAATGTTGTTCTTATGATCATGACTTTAAGGTCCCATTTGCTACAAAGTATTAAAAATAAGAGATATAGATTAGGATTACAATTGGAAAAAAAAATCATTAAAAAAGTCTTTAGCATTAGTAATTATTTGTTACATTGGATTAGGCAAACCTATGAAAATAGGATTAGGGAATACCACTTCCTCTCATAATATTTCTCAATCCCACATACATGGGTTTGTCTAATCCCATGTAACAAAAGCAATTTCTAATGCTAAACACTATTTTGTCAATTTCAATCACAATCTTTATCCCTTATTTTCAATTCATCGTACCAAACGATACCTAAGTGTATAATCTTTTTTAACAAATAATATTTTTTATATCTTAATAGAATTCTGACATGTAGTTGAGCGACACAAGCTATTTTTGAGCCGAAACTATATTTGTCTCTGTATATATATAATAATAAAAAATTGATCAGGTTGTACATATTTATATTTTGTAATGAGCTAAGGTGCAAATTTGCCTGGAAAGTTTAAAATCGTAACAATATTATCCCTGCTGTTAAAAACGTTAATGGCAGTGTCACTATTTTAATGGTCAATATTAGTTCTTTCATGGTAAAAGGTAAGATTGTTATAATGTTAAACTTTCAAAACAAATTTGCACACCAAAAAACTTTTGGGTGCCCAGTATTTTGAAGTGAAAATTTCTAAGGCAAATTTATACCTTAAGTCTTTTTAATTCATAAACTGTTTGGCTCACGTCAAACTTAACATAGATAATGTCTATCATCTAATTTAATATACAATTTATGAAAAATTGTATTATTTATAAATCATAAATGATGCTAGTTCTAGGTAAATTATATCAGTTTTGTTAGTCTCAAATAATTTATGTTCTATACACCAATTTATTTATTTTTTCAAATTTTTATTTCATTAATGAATAACGATATCTTAATATTTTGGGTTGTCCGTGCCTGGATCTGCATGAAATGATTATAACTCTTAAAATATTTGAGGTTTTTTGTCAATAAGATATCAGATTCTAACTTTGTTGCCGGTTGTTGGCACTGCAAGAACATGGGTCGTGACAAGTAATACAATGATAAGATCATTTCCACAGACATTTATGCAAAAATTAAGACCAAACAAAAGATTAAGTAAATTTAATTAAGTTGAGCCAAAAAAATTTTTGATGGGTAAATTGAATTTTGAAAACTAATTTTAAACTAGAAAGTAATTAAAATAATTGATTCTTACACTTCAAGGGATGAAAAACACATAGGATTATTCATTCCCCTTGCATTTCATAACCTTTGATTTATCTCCTCTCATAAATGTTCTTAATAAAAATGTGTTAGTCTATAATTCAAAAGGTACTTGTAAAAGTTTTTTCAAGTCAAGAACAAGCATTTAGTTCCATTAACATCTCAACCTCTTGTTACAATTAATAAAATCCAATTTTAAGTTTCAAATCTAAAGTGACCATGTAAGGTTGGCAAGTATATTTCTATCTTACCGACAAAGCCATCTATTTAACAAGCAAACATCAAGTTCTTACACAATTTTACCCAAATTTTACACTTAATCTAGCTCTCTCAAGCATTAACCAAGTGAACACAACAACTGAATGGTGATCCAGCATTTAGAAGCATTAAAAAAAGAGTAAAATAAACACACATATATCATTAATCACAAAATAAGAGGAGTAATCAAGAGTTAATCCATACAAGGTTCAAAGTATATCCTAGAATAAGGTGCTTAGCTACTCAAAATCAACCACAAGCCACAATTATGAAGAAAAATTACTGCCATAGCATATTAGAAGAAAGGAAAGGGAAGAATAGCAGAAAAACCAAGAAGAAGGAGCTCCAAATCTCTCCCAAAGCTCAATCTCTTGCTTGATGCTCTTCAATCTCCCAAAACCCTAGCACACCAGCTCCCTAGAGGTCTAGAATCGGTGAAAACGAAGCATCCCTTTGATTTATACAACATATGGAGCCCCAGGATGTGTGTTGTCTTCAAAACGCACAGCTTCAATAATTCCGCGTGCTGTTTTCAAAATGCCAAGAGAAATCTTGGCTATGGCCAATCTCTCTCTGCCTCCTTCGTTGGCTAAAGCCAAAGTCTTTTGTTGGCTGAGTCTAATAGCTCAATGTTTTGGATATCTTTTTTATTGGATTTTTTTGTTGTGTCTTGATTTCCTAAGCTTCTTTCCAACTCCATGGGGATTAACATTTGCTTCAAATGGCCCCATGAGCAAGCTTCAATCACCTACAAAGCAAGACAAACTATGAAAGCCAAATTTGATAAGTAGGGGCAAAGTATTCACAATTAACCAAATATTCATAACTTTAGCCCAACTGTCAACTATACACATTTTCCTTTCACCAGTATTTTTAGATATGCACTAATTTACGAAAAAGTCTAATAACTAACGGAAGATGTGATGAAATAACATGAATTTCACGAGCTGACCAAGGTAAAATATTCAAATTTTGCATTTGTCATCATTTATAGAGCAAACTGGGACAGCGTGCTTTTTACAGTCCATGATTATTGCTTGTTTGATCTTTTATTAAAAGACTTCTTGCGTTTCAATATGGTGATGTTTAAGGAATCAGTATCAATATGAAATTCGACGCGTAAAAGGTATGCAAGGGTTATAAATTAAGAATAATGTGACCGAAGCATAAAATATTTAATTCAATGCATCTATAGTTTACTGGGGTTTCAGTTCTTCCTTACGTTATTCCCATACTATATATTTGATCCTTGAGAAGCAGGCCTTTACGTGAATCTTTAAGAAAATGATTTAAAGAACATTTTCAAGATGAAAAGGCTTACAATCTACTTAAGATCCACTTTGAAGAGGATTACAATGACAAGTTATGTTAGTATCAAAAGTTTAATTTTTGACGGCTTCGGGTCATTAATGGCAATTATGAAATAGCTACCGGAAAATTCAGGAAAATGACGAAAATTTCAGGGAAGAAAAATGGAAAAAGATTTGCCTGAACCATAACTCTTCTAATTGCATACTAAAGAGGTGAAAATAATGGACATGACAAGGATCTCAGATGGCTCCGTGCAAAAATGCTTAGACTTCTTGTGGACTAATTAGATCAAAGTTTCTAAAACTTGTACATATTATTTTACCCTCAAATGCTCCATCTTCAAAATGGATGGGTTCGAATCTATTCATGACTGCAATGTCCTTTCAATAAATTATTGGAATCGAATTCTCGCTTTGCAAAAGTTTCCCTCTGGAATTTATGCCTTGTTTTAACTTCCTTCACGCCCATATTATATATTGATTTGAATTCTGTGTTTGATCTAACATGCCTCTCGAGTCTCTTCTTCCTTGAAAATGTTTTTTAGGCCTATGCCTCAGCCACCATGGTTCGCCGGCCCCATATTACATCCCGCTATGCCTAGAGAACCCCCAAGAGACCCAACGGTTAGTGTTAAGCTTTATTCATGGTCGACTGAAGAATTTCGTGAAGAAAACGCTCTCGTTTACACTTCACGATCTCACCCATCACACACTTGCATTTCTCATTGGAGAGCAAATCGCGACAAGGTGCTTTTCACACTCCAAGATTCCTTGTGTGTGGGTAATCCTGTGAGAGTAGAAATGGAGATCCAGGCTGAAAGAGATCACAGAGGATTCTACGTGATGCATAGCTATGAAGTCCGTAAACGCAGTGGGAAGTTCATAGAGCAAACAGACGAACCAGAAGAGTGCGTAACGAGGTACAGAGATACGTATCATCATAGAGAAGGCGAACTAGAGTATGAGACAATGGAACTTAACGAGGCAGATATTGATTTCACCACAGGCCTTGCTGGGGGACCTGGTCTTACTTATACCATCAATATACACTGTCATCCTTGGAAAGGAATTGACGTGAATCTTGATGGTCCTGAATGCTATTTTGGTGATCCCTTGATCCCACAATCTTCCATAGGTTACTGTTTCGTTGAATATGTAGCAGGAAAACCTCCACGTAATGTTTTAGAGAAGATCAGTGATTTGAAAGACGAAAAGAAAGGCAACAACATGCATGGAGCTTCATGTGCTTCATCATCTTCAACACAAAGCAGTGCTATTCTGAATGCTGGAAAAACTCAAGGTGATTTGAATGGCTCTAACTTCCATGGTTGTAATTTTCATTTTGCGCGATTGACTGAGGAAATTCAAGGACTTAAAATATAGTACCACGTTTGGGTTCTCACATGTGAGTCTGTTGTGTCTTATAGTGTCAGAAAGCAATTAATCAGATGTTGACAAATAAGTTTGTACCATATTATTGTGTTCAATGCTGTACTCTATGTATGAAACATCGTGTATGTGTTTATCTATGATCAGTCTTAATGGAATCTGTTCCGTCTTAAAGTTTTTACAGCGTCTTCGATAAATTGATGTCAATGCAGAGTTAGAGACTCCGAGTAGTGAACACCAGTAGAGCATATATCAATTTATAGCAAACCCACTGTTAACATACTGTAATGCCACTAATTCCCTACCTCCACGCTTTTCAAGGAAAAATATATCTAGTTTAGATGAATTATGTTTACTGATGGTGATAATAATAACAAGCACTAACAAAAAGGTGACTTCAAAAAGTCACCGTTGAAACAACCGAGTCGTTGCCATAGTGATTGTTTGAAAGTATAGTTTCAGTGTCGCTACAGAAAGAAGTCACCGCTGAAAGTATTAGCAGAGAAAATAAGACCATCACTGGCTGGCCATCGACCGCCACCACGTCACTACTGGTCAGCCGCCATGTTACTCGCCACCTCATTTATGCCACATGTCTACACGTCGATGTACGACGTCACCAATTGGATATTATCACCATAAATATGGCCCTTCTATGGTTTGAACTCTTGACCTCCTCCTTTTGCGTCCCTTCCTCTTGCCATTGAGCTGGAATGAATTTGGTAATAATTGTTGTAAAATCAAATACATATAATAGTAACAAAATATTGAAATAAACTTTCAGCAGTGATACTAGCCTATTAGGAAGGAGAACCCATCAAACTTATAAACCCTATAATACTTGTGAGATTCCCCTATGTGAGACTCATAACAGAGCACCCCCTCGAGAGCCAACATCCCTGGTGGCTCTACTCTACGATACTTCACTTAGTCTTCTTACCGGTCACAACCTTCTATAGGTAGCCCTTTCTGGTTAGTCGATTCTCAATAAAAGACCAACGTGATGAGCATAAGCTCAAAGGGAAAGTCTATCCCAAACGATTAACCTACTAGGAATGAGAGTATATTAAACTTATAAACCCCATAACACTCATGAGATTCCAAGAATGTCACCATTGAAAGTGTCTTTTGACGGCGACAAAAAGCTATTATATTAAATATTGTTAAATACTAATACTATTATTAAATATTTATATTTAATTTTCTTATTTGATTAAAAATTTATTTATAAGATCCATTCTGTATAAAAAATATAATTCATACAATATAATTTGTTACATTTTTTATTTCTAGTTATTTAAGCTATTATATTATTTATTTTAATATTCACATTTATAATTATGAAATATGAAAATAGTATATAAAAATAATAAAATTTAATTATACATTTTATCATGATTATTTAAGTCTCTCACACACAAATAATTATAATATCTCACTTTCATACACACACTGATTTCTTCCTCCTTCCCCCTCTTACTCTCCCACATACCATATTATCTCTCTAACCCTCTCCTTCTCTCTCTTTAACACAACATGTAAAAATACTTTATTTTGTCAGAACAAATCATATTAATGAATAAAATCATTGTCTAAATATGATTTTTTTTTTACAAAAAACTTAAAATAATAATAAAAAGTTAAAATAGACTTTCCACTGAAACTACCCTTTAGTGGCAACCAAAATTTTGCTGCTGAAAGTGTCCTTCAGCAGTGACAATAATTGTCGCCGCTAAAAGTCCATTTCAGCTGTGACATTAGGAGTCACCATTAAAAGTCTCACTTTTGAGTCACTGTTAAAAGGTGTCCCTAAAAGTCTTTTTTTTTTTTTTTTGTAGTGAAGGAAGGGAGCTAATTAATAACGTACATCTTATCAAACTTGCTTCCGATACTGTGGTTTTTTTTTTTTGTTTTCCTTTTTGACACCGTTTGATACTGTGATATGATATTTTTCAAAAGTCAGCTATGAATTGGTGACAAGTGCATATACTTTTATTGTAGTTCAGTACCAAATACATTTGTTATAACACTATATCAAATACCATATTAATATCAGTGAAGAGATCATGGAGAATGGTTTGATTAAAAACACAAAGAACACACTAAGCCTGTCAAAATTATGGCTTGGCGGTGATCGTGTTTTGCATTCAACTCCTAAACTACGAGTTCGAATCAAGGCAGTCTCACACAAAGCCCAAACTAAAAATTTAGAAATATAGAGTAATGAGTGCGGGTTTCCTTTTATATTTTAAAAGTAAAACAAAACTGAAGAGGATACTATTAATCTCTAGAATTTCATGTCATTTCAGCACTTTTTTCTTGTGTTTTATGCACTCTGAGATGTATTTATTTATATTTTGGCATTTATCCTTGTTATTTTTGAGCTTATAAAGTTTGTCACTTTTGCAAGGTTATTTTGTCTCAGAATTAAAGTTTCAAGCCACTTGGAAGTACTTTAGAAGGAACTAAAAATTAAGGCTTCTCAAAAATATT